AAAATAAACTAGACAAACTATAACACAAGTAATAAAAATTGTGTTGTAAATTCATAAGGTAAGAAGTTAAGACCATATGGTAATACGCCATCATATACTGTTATGATAAAATTAATTACATAAAAATACATGTACTGTATTTAATTAACATAAGTTTTAAATATCGCGATCATATTTAGTAAAACCAGCCAAACTGTCCCATTATGTTTAGTAATTTGTTTAGTTTAGTAATGTTTAGTATAGTATGTGATTATGTTTTATTAATACTAAAATTGAAACACAATTAATAATTGTTGTCATTGTCAATTATATTAAAATTTATATAAAATTGTTTAATAAAAATTATTACATTTATAAATAATTATAGCTTTGATAATCCCAACAAATCTTTGAGTAGTTGTAGTCCGGCCTCTGGTTTATTGCTCGGCACCATATGTCCGGCCCCTCTAACCAAAACAAAACTCAATCCCTTTTCGTAATTCTGTATAAAACCGCCGATCACTCCATCACTGGTGCCGTCGACTGTCCACTCCCTGTCCGACACAAACAATACATACAATTATAGTAATTCTTACAAAACATAGCATTAATGCAATACTAAAGTCGTGGCATACCTGTAATGATCGGCCGTTTGAAAGCCGAGACCCGACACAAACCTCTGATCACCAATAAAATTGCAAACCGTATCGAAGTCTCCGTTATATACAATCAGTTTTGGTATTTTATATGTATTTATCAATTGCTTAACGGTTTCCGCCTGTGGTGTCCCGGCGTGTGTCCTATCATAGGGTCCGCCAATAGGTGCCCACCGTTTACTACCCGGTCTCACATGTAGGGCCTTTTGGACGGCATCGGTGTTCATGTATGCAGTCGTACCGTATTTAACGCATTCCGGTCGCGCATTTACCCCGTTATTTGGTTTAAGCCTATAATTAATGCCAATCCGTTTGAATGCTGGCCTAAAATACGTGTCAAACACCTGCCGAGCGTTGGTATCTAAGGGACAGTCGTCGTAGATATTGTACGGATTGTTTAGTCGCATAGTGTCCACCTGTACTGACTTGCACTTGCTGTAAATATATTAATTTATTAAATAATTAATTATTAATTTTAAAAATACTTAATAAGCTAGTTAAATTTAATTGTATTTACGTTATATTGGGTGCTTTACTAAAATCGCACTCGTGTTGAACCGCACCTGCGGTACACTCACAGCAACTCTCAATCTTTTTCTCGTAGGCATCCGTTGTTATCAATCCGTGCGCTAAANGCTTTACTAAAATCGCACTCGTGTTGAACCGCACCTGCGGTACACTCACAGCAACTCTCAATCTTTTTCTCGTAGGCATCCGTTGTTATCAATCCGTGCGCTAAAGCATAGTCATAGCTGGACTGATCAAAACTTATTTGACCCTGTTTATCTAATAACAGTCCATTCCCTATGGCTACACCTATTTGTATATACAATTTGTAAATACCTTATTTTTAAATTTTAACTTGCTTTTAATTACCTTTTAAATTGATAGTAGAGTTGTGTTGATATATACTTTTGGCTAACATTGGTATATAAACGCCGGCATAACTCTCGCCTGTGATGTAAAACTCGTTTTTCTTAAATTGTGGAAATTTTATGAAAAAACTTTCGAGAGATAAGTAGTTATCCAAAGCAGTCGACTCGTCAGTGTTTGTATAGTTATTGTTGTCGTCATAACTAAATCCCGTTCCCGACGGCGACTCCAGGTATAAGACATTTGCCACTGAATTCCAACTATGTTCAGCCAATTCAACAGTTTTACCATCTTGTTTGAATCTGAAGGGTCCGTTTTCAGTGGACATACCAAACAGTGAACTGCCACCCGGGCCTCCCTGAAGCCATAGGACTACCGGTGCATTTTGCGGGTGTTTTTCACATTCAAAAAACCAATAGAAATAATGCCTTCCCTTCGAGGCATTCAAATAACCGGAATATTGTTTGAATTGGATTTGCTTTGAAAGGCCCGGAAGTGACACAATCTCGTCGTCCAATGCATTACAAACCAGACAAACGTTTAGCATAAATGCTATACTAATTAATATTACAACAAATAACCGGAATATTGTTTGAATTGGATTTGCTTTGAAAGGCCCGGAAGTGACACAATCTCGTCGTCCAATGCATTACAAACCAGACAAACGTTTAGCATAAATGCTATACTAATTAATATTACATTCATTATAAAAACTATAATTATCTATTTATATTTATATTATTTATAATCTTTATATAAAAATAAAAGTTACTATAACTATTGTTGATCTACTTATTAAGTATCCCTGTTATTTATATGCTTCGCGACTATTGTACTTTGATTTGCCTTAGCAAATTTAATCAATATAATGTGACAATGAATGCACCTGGTGTTAATCTCAAAATTTCTTATTATTCTAGCTTATTATTTACGTAACTATAACCTTGATCATATTGTTTTTAACATGATTAGACAATTGTCTTTATCAAATTACTTACTTTTAAATAAATAATTCAGTATTTAACGTATGATATTGTCTGACTATGGGTCCAATTTATTGATAGATTAAAATAGTATAAAGTACAAAATAAACCACTTTGAAACTTTATCATTGCTAATGCAGCAAACTTCATAATACTAACTTAATTTATATGGCCATGGCAATTAATTCAAATATTGTTTTGTGATACATTTTATTGTTTCATTATATTTGGTATAATAATATATTGTTTTGTTAATCTTAAAAATGTACTTGTCCAATTGATATTTAACTTACAATTAGTGTGTATAATAACAATACACAAGCGTTTTATATAGATTACAATACAGGAAAAATTCATTCATATTATTTATCATAATTAATTAATCTTAAGTAAAACTACCATACAGCATATGGCAAATAAATAAAATGATAAGATTTTTTTTTATTATAATCGTAGTATTTTTAATTATTTGTTACTTAATTATTTAAAAGTAAAACTGTAAAATATTATTTAAAAATAATTTTTATTAGTAACAAATAATTTGATAATAGACACATGGACAAGTAACCCAACAAGATAATATTTAATTAATAGATTTACATAAATAAAACATTTTAAAATAAATTAATTACAATTTTACAAATCCAAGTAATCCTTTAAAGAGTTGCAATCTCGCATCGGGTTTACTATTGGGCACCATATGTCCGGCCCCTCTAACC